AATTACCATTTTTAAATATTAATTACCGTGTGTTTCATATCTCATCACAGTTAGACGAAAATTTTCAGCTTCAGATTCAGACCTTCATAGCAGTTCAGTTACTGTGCAATTGATTTATTTCGTTAATCTGTACTATAAACTCTATATTGAATCCACAAAAAAATTAATCGGAAGCATTATTCGAACTTAATTTACGAACCCTGAATATGTCTATGTTCAAATATTCACCCTAATATTCAATATTAAAATTATTTTTTGTAAGATATCTCTTTATCGCTTACTTACTTGTATTTTCTCTTGTGTCAATATTTTATTGCTTCTTATTATTTTAAAAGTACTCATAACATTTTATTTCTTTGGAGAAAATAAAATGCTGCCACAAGAACGTAAAGATACGGCAGATATACTTCTTCTGTTTGATCACTTGTTTGATTCTTTTAATGAGGAGGTTCCTATAAGAAAACGTACAAGATCTATAAAAATTGTGTAAAACCGAGTGCAGATCACTTTGCACTATGGAATAAAGTTCTACCAGTTTTACTGTCAATGAGCTTCAAAACGGAGATAAAAAAGAGGTAGTGCTACATCATCTGTAATTTTTGAACAAGTTTCATCAATAAAAAATTGGATACATAACATTGACACTATAAAAGGTTTGTTGCAATATTTATTTGACAAATACAACGTAAAGAGTATTTTGATGCGTAATTTTAATCAAGATCCCTTAGAAAACTTTTTCTCCTCGGTAAGAAGCCACGGAAAAGAGCAACAACAATCTTACGTGTCTACAATTTCAAAGTATTTAAAAGACATTACTAGTTTTGAGTTCAAGACATTCCTTGGGGGCAAATTGTGAAGAATACTTTAATAAAGTTTTAAATAATTGAGACTGCCTGCTAGCAAAAAATGAATTATTACCTCTGCCCCCAAAGGAAAACAGAATTAGTATAGATTTTATAGTTCACTATAGAGCCGTGGTAGCTCAGATGGTTAGCGCTCGCTGTAAATTTCACAGTGCGCGAGCAAAACGGGTTCGATCCCCGCCGGCACCAATGAAATTCTTAATTGCAATTTTAAGTGCTGATTTACCACGTACTCGGCGGTGAAGGAAAACATCGTGAGGAAACCTGCATGTCTGAGAAATAAGAAAAAAAATTTCGAAGACATGTGAAGTTCGCCAACACGCATTGAGGCAGCGTTGGCGGACATTTCCTAGCCCTAATACCCTCTCAGAAATGAGAGGAGGCCTGTGCCCAGCAGTGGGACGTATATAGGCTGTAACTTTACTTTACTTTTACTTTATAGTTCACAACTTAGCAGGTAACGATTCGCAAGAAGTTGCAAATAAAATTGTCACGAAGACAAAAAGGTTTGTGGCACGGCAAGTTAAAAAATTAAAGTTTGCAAACCATGTATTAGAGTGCGCGCAAGATAACTCTGCGCGCGGCCAAAATTGGAACTAATCGTGTGCCGCCATCTTACTGTTTATGGCAAGTGTCTAAACAGAGTGGTAGGTGTCCTGTTTTTATTCTTTTTTGCAGTAATTAATCGTTATCATTATGCCGAAAGTGATTAAAAGTGCTGGCAGGGATGTTATTTTGAGGGTCAAACGTGCTTGTGAAGAAGAACGAGACAATAACGGGCCTATAGTACCGTTTTCCAAAGTTAGGGCCCGCGTTGCATATTTAACAGGTAATTTTTAGGGATGCCATTACAATAAAATTCCCCAATTTTCTCTATTTGTTCCTTTTTAATTTCCTCGTGTCATTAATATCATGTATTTATAATGCATTGTTTTTATTTTGTTTTAGGTGTTTCTGAACGCACCGTCACCCAGATAAGTCAAGAGGGTAATAAAAGAAGTAAAATATAGCAGAAGCTTCATCTTCTAAAATTGTGACGCCGGGAAAAACTAGGAACCGAAGGAAAAAAATTTATGATTTAGACGATTTCGATATGTGCGCTATAAGGCATTTAATTCAATCATTTTACGTCGTGAAGAAGGAGATTCCTACCATAAATAAACTTTGGTTGGAATTGAAAACTGATATTGGTTTTAAATATGGCAGAACATCGTTGAGGAGTATTTTAAAGACTATGGGCTACAAATACAAAAGGTGCCAGTCTAAACGAAAAGTATTGGTAGAACGCAGTGATATTGCAGCTTGGAGAGCAAAATATATTCTGAGGTTGCGCAAGAATCGTCAGGAAGAAAATCGACCGGTAATTTATGTTGACGAAACGTATATACATGCTTCATACCACCTTCAAAAATGTTGGCAATCGAAGGAACAGCCTGGTATTCTTGCTTCTGATAGCGTCGGTGCAAGATGGATAATAGCCCATGGTGGAGGTAAAACTGGGTTTGTTGAAAACGGACTGCTGCTGTTCAGGTCTAACTCCAAATCGAATGACTATCATGACGATATGAATTCAGCTAACTTCATGCGGTGGATGAAAGAAAAAATTGTGCCGAATCTTTCAACGAATTGCATTGTAGTGATGGATAATGCGTCATACCACTGCACACAGATCAACAAGGCGCCTACAATTGGCAATACAAAAGCAGAGCTCCAAGGATGGCTTACGAGAAATGGTATTACATTTGAAGACTGTTGGACAAAAGCGCAATTATACGAATTAATTAAAAAATACAAAGGAGACCCACAGTACGAAATAGATCAAATGCTAAATGAATATGGACATGAGGTTCTCCGTTTGCCGCCTTACCACTGCGATTTAAATCCCATAGAAAAAATTTGGGCAATAGTAAAGAGACGCATTGCAGAGAAAAATATCACTCAAGCTCCTAGCGAAATAGCTGCTATTACTGAGGCGGCGTTTAGAACAGTAACGACAGAAGAATGATTCAACGTATGCCAACATGTAGAAAAAATAGAAGATAAATATTTCCAATCAGATAGGCTGATGGATATGGAAATGGATGAATTTGTAATTAATGTTACAGGTGACACATCCGAGTCATCTGATGAAGACTCTAGCATGGATTCTGATGAAGATATGCGAATGGAAGGCGTTGATCCACTGCAGGACCATTGTTACACCAAATTTATAAATAATAATAGGTATTCAATAAAAGATTTACAAGGTTTCCTTGGACTTTTTATTTCGTTCTTTATAATAAATATTATAATGCTATTTCAGTTGTTTCAAAATACCTTTTTGGAAAAATTTATTATAGACAAAATATCAGTAGTCATTAATCTTAGTATTAGTCCTTTTTATACACGCATATAATAGGTACCTGTAATTGTGTAAAAAAAATGTAGTGGCGTAGTTAAACTTGTGTAGTGAGGTATCAAACTTATGAAAGTTAGAATCAAGAAATATATTTATTACGCGGATCTTAAACAATAAATATGGGGTTTAAAAAATTATTAGGTCTTTGTAAGTTTAGGCTGAACATTACAGTTTTTTTAATTGAGATTTGGTAATCAATTAGGTAATTTATGTAATTTGATATAATTATACAATTCCAGTAATAAGATTAAACGAACCAAAAAATATTAGTTAAGCTGGCAACATTAAGCACACCATCAGTCGCGCGCAGAGTTATCTTGCGCGCACTATACATGTAATAATGAATTGTGTGATACAACTCCGCCACAAGTAAATGATTACATTTTATCTGTAGATGTCACGCTGTAGACGAGGAGACTGAGGTGTTTGACGTTCTGCTGTCATAGTTAACGAAGGCCTTAACGAAGTTAACGAAACCTTCAACTCTCAATTATTAATTTTTTTACCGTGACTATGGGTGCTGTAAAGGGCCCAAAACGTAGGTAATTATAAAAGTTAAAATTAAAGGAATAAAATCCATAATTTTTTATGGATTTTATTCCTTTAATTTTCCATCAATTCATTATTTTAATTCCATGTGTAGTATAAGAGTAAATATAAGATTAATGATTTTTAATGATAATTAAACAGTTTCATGATCAAAGTCCAACCTCCATATTATTGAGTTGCAATATATTTTGCAATATTATGTTCCTTTCTCATTCGAGATCGCTTATCTGCGAAACTTCAGGTCCATTTTTGGTTTGTCTATGGGATTAGTAAAGCGCGGCAGATTAACATACAGGGAGGCACTTAGTACCCCATTAAATACCTCCACCAAGTATTAGCCCCGTATATGTGGCCGCGCTTCAAAGATAAAGGATCAGGTTAGTGAAAAAAAAATTGATCATCTGAAATTCTCGAGCGCGTCAGATTAAGGTAGGGTAAGTTAGTTATATCCTAAAAGGTTATATTCCACTAATTTGACAATTTTCGATTGACGATAAGAAGTAGGTGGGTTACAAACTTGTAAAAAAACGTCATCTCGACTTTCTCGAGCGTGGCTAAATTTTTTTATTTTGAAGGCAATAATTCAACGTTCACGAATAATAAACAATCTGACGATTTCCGTAAGCCGAAGTAAGGAAAAATAATCGATAAAGTTTAATGCGTTGTTTCTATTCCTCTCTCACTCTTTCTCTTATTTTCGTTATTTACCCGTTAATTATAACCAATTACTTCGTTCTTATTTTTTATATTTAAATTACATTACATAGGTTGTAGGTAGGTAAGTAATCGGTCTTTTTTTTTGGTTGTTTTGGTTCCTTTATAATACTGTAAATAACATACCAGCAATAGTAATGTAAAATTTATAATAAAAGAATATTGATAGATTCACGGAAGCGTGATTTTGTTTTCTAGTTTGAAATTAGAATTGTGTTTTGCCTATTAATCACTATTTAGCTATAATTTTAATTAATAATGCAAGTATTGCATTTCTAAAGTATAATAAACATAATAATAACTACCGTACTGTATTTTTTGGTAGTGTAGAAAAAGCACGTACTAAGAATTATGCCGCGAAAGCGTATGTCTAATATTTCCCAGCTCTAATAAAGCGCGAAATATGAAAGTAGCTAGACTTAAGGAGACGTTTCCACAAGCCGAACTGCAAAGGCTTGAACAGGCAGCTCACAGGGCTACCGAGATACCAGAGCAGTCCCAAGCCCGGCGTCGACATCATGCTGAATACTTGGCATCTCAACCAGCTGTTGAGACACCATAACAGTCCTAAGATCGGCGTCGACAGCATGGTGATTATCTAGCATCTCAACGGACTGATGAAACACCAGAACAGTCCCAACATCTGCGTCGACAGCATGCTGAGTATCTAGCATCACGACGGACTGATGAGACACCAGAACAGTGCCAAGATCGGCGTCGACAGCATGCTGACTATCTAGCATCCCGACGAGCTGTTGAGACACCAGAACAGTCCCAACATCGGCGTCGACAGCATGCTGAGCATCTAGCATCTCAACAGGCTGACGAGACACTAGAACAGTCCCAAAATCGGCGTCGACAGCATGCTGAGTATGTAGCACCTCAACGGGCTAATGAGTCAACAGAACAGTCCCAGGATCGACGTCAACAGAATGCTGAATATCTGGCATCTCAACGGGCTTCTGAGACACCCAAACAGTCTCAAGCTCGGCGTCTTCGGCAGGCGACTTACATAGCGTCCCAAAGATCTATAGAAATCGTTGAAGCTGCTGAAGCTCGCAGACGCGCTGTTGCTTAAAGGGAACAACAAAAACGACTTATATTTACAAGAAACGCGTGGGGGGTATTCGATAAAGCTGCATTTGAGTACGAAGAGACTCTTGAGTACGAAAGCCATAAGCTTATAAAAATAGAAGCGATGAATAAAGAATGCAGATTTTGCGGTACTCTTAAATGGAAAGAGGAATCTCTTTCAGCTAAGCTCTCTATTGACGTCCGTCGAGTTGGGGGTTGATATTTTTTTACAGAAAGGTGACATTATTATAAGCGTACACGCAAAGTTTCAATATGCGAAGACGCGTACTTTTTTGAGAAAAAAAAAATAAAATGAATTATTTTTGCAATATTTATGTCAATCCCTACCATAGATTATATCGTATTACAGATATATCACGCCATCGAATGTTTCGTTTTACGTACGGTTAAATTGTCATACGTTCGGTACCATTTTATTTAAATTCACTTTATTAAATTTACGTAAATAATTATATTTTGCACTCATTTTAATAGTTTTCATACATACACGTATATTTAACAGTTTATATTTAAATTACAGAATTATTTTCATTGCGAGCTATTAAAATTAGAATGTGCGGTCTTTTGCTGGCATGTGGAACGAATCTTAAAACTGACGCTATTTTGTATTGTCACTGTCATCGTCAGTCATTGTATGTGTCCCTAGCAGTTAAGAGCGTTTACGTACTCCTGTTGGTGAAAACAAAGTTTGACTATCACCATGGCGTCTCCAAAGTCCCAAGTTTCGTGATCTGCTGTGCCGTGAGAAGTGTCCAGTGTAGTGCAAGTGTTAGGCTGCGTCCCCAGTAGGCAAACTGTTAGCCGCCAACTGAGTTAGCGGCGTATCGGTTTAGTACGCCCTTCCATATATTTCAAATGGAGTGTTCACAGTTTGCTAGTTTTGCGCTCACTGTACGCAGTTTGCAGCGTTATTCGCGCCGACTATCTTAGTGAGCGGCCGACTCCCGCCAAAACCGGTTCCAGTCGGCGGCGGCGATTGGTTGTTCGCCGGGCGTAGTGACTCAGTTTGCCGCAAACTGATTATTCGGATAGTTTGAAAAAAGCTATCATCGTGTTAGGACGTGTTTTTTTTGCATCGCACCTAACTAATCTCAACGTCACATCACTGAAAATCCAAGATGTCCTTTGATACGGAAAGGTTCATTAGTGAAATACAGAATAGACCATGCATATGGAACATGTCGAGTGAAGAATACAGCAACAGAGTATTAAAGCAGAGCAATTGGAATGAAGTCGCTGATATTATATACGATGATTGGCAAAACTTAGAAGAAAACACTAAACAAAAAAGAAGTAAGTTCCATTCTAATGAATTTATTATTTATTAAACAATATACTTGTATCACTCACTACATAAAACAAAGTATCATAATTTACATAGTATTTACGGCTTTACACACTCCGTTACACTATTTCTTCCTGTAGCTACAACTTACAAATATTTCTCTTGCCATGGTAGCTTTCCTTCGTTAAGAAAATAGTTTTTAAAGTTTTCTCTTGTTATTTTTCCAGAATTTGATACAGTAATAATTTGGCTCCTTGTAAGAGTTATTGAGGTACGTCGCGAAATATGTGCATATTGTGCTTGTTCTCTTGCTATGACAAAATTATGTAAAATACAAACAGCTTTTACGATAGCGATGGTTATATTCACATTAGTAGCGATCGGTGTATGCAGAACTCTCCATTTGCTTGTTAGGATACCGAATGCACATTCCACGCATCTCCTAGCTCGACTATGACGACAATTGTAAATTCGCTCTTCCTTATTTAAACTTTTATTAGGAAAAGGCCTCAAGATATGCTTTTGTAATCCAAATGCTTCATCTCCAAGAAACACGAAAGGTTGGGGCAATCCATTTGAATTAGGCAATTTAGTTGAGTTAGGAATCTTCAGAGACACGCCAATTTTTTGCCAAAACCACTTTCTTTAAATATATTACTGTCAGCATTTCGTCCGCAAGCACCTACATCAATAGCTATAAAAGAACAGTTTGCATCTGCTACGGCTTACAGAACAATTGAGAAGAACTTCTTATAATTAAAATAGTTAGACCCACTTTTTGGTGGTTTTCTAATACGGATATGCTTGCCATCGATAGATCCTATACAATTAGGATAGTTGGTTTTTTTATAATATCGTTTTGCTATTTCTAGCCACAATTCTTCAGAAGGTTCCGGCATTTCCTGTGGCTGTAAAATATCCCATATAATGCATGCAGTTTCACTTATTATTTTCGATACCGTCGATTTTCCAACAAGAAACTCTTGTGCAATTTTTCTGTAACTTAGTCCACTTGACAGGAATCTGGAAAGAATATTGAACTACCGATTATTTCTGTTTCAGTAAAAGACCTACAAAAAAATGGAAGGGTTTGCGCGACTATCACACCAGAGAAAAAAATAAGGATTCCTCAGTCAAAAGCGGAAGTGGGGCAAAAAAAAAAACGCAAGACACCATACTTGGACATGTTACACTTTTTAAATGTTTCTAGAGCTAGCAACCAGACATCTGGCAATATTAGCGCCGAGACGTGTAGCGACAGTAGCGCCATTTTAGATGAAAATGATTCTACTGATTCGGTAGTTAATGTCAGTAGACCAAAAAAGATGATGGAAAAAAAAGAGAAAACGATCTAGATATGAACTTTCTACTAAATATTTTACCGGAAATGAAGACAATGTCCCCAACACAGAATTTTGAATTTCGGTTCGAAGTGATGAAAATTATTAAAAATATAAAATATAGTGTACATAATAATTATGACGGTGGTATGATGCAAACTGGATGGACGAATGCCTACCAGTACCCACATCAATATGGCTATGCGAGTGGAAGCAGCAGTACACCAAATGTGCAAAACTACCCTCGAAACAGTCCTTCACATAGCTCTACAGGTTCTTCAGCGGAAGTAGAAGACATAAAAGCAATATTGCAAGGCGATTCAAACCACATTGAAGATGAGGAATGACTGGTTACCAACTTAATGTTACCATATTTGTTCCTAATTCAATTTAATAATACAGTAATTTTGAAAAGTGATTGTTAAATTAAAAACTATAAATGCGAAAGTAACTTTGTATTAAAATAAAAATAACATATTTTTTTAAAATCCTACAGCGTTAATTATTTACTTACCTCAAAGTTATAGTAAGCCGTTCTTCGGGACATAATGTATCTCTTGTGATATTATTTTTAGCTATGTACTGGGTTATAGATTTCAACAATTCATCAAATGTATGAGAAGTCATATTGAAATAGTCGTAAAATTTTTCTGGATGTTTCCTTAGTTCTGGGTAAAGAGTGTGAAATTGTCCAATGCTCAACCTTTTCTTGTATAATGGGTGAACCCAGTGCTTCCTTTTATCCTCTTTCAGCGCTTCTAAGATACCAATTACTTCAAAAATATCCATTGTGACCAACACAACCACTCCCTTCGTAAAACAAAAGTAAAGTGATAATTCAGTCGGTCGGCTAAATAAGCGGCTAACTCTTAACAGTTTGCTTGCGACGCACGAAAATTGATTTGAGTCTGCAGCTAACTCAAATTTCAGTTCGCTGCAAATTTGCGGCTCACTCAGTCAGCCGCTAACTGTTTGCCTACTGGGGACGCAGCCTTAGGCTAATGAGCCACTTGTTGCGAGCTCTTCTTCAGGCCCCCCTGTGGTGAAGTGCCGTCTGTAGAATCGAGTGTAATTAAAGTGTTGGACTCTGATGAGCCACTTGTCGCGAACTCTTCTGCAGGCCCCCCGTGTGTGCAGTGTTGGACTCTAGTGAGCTACTTGTGCCCATGACTGTGCCATCGAAACCAATATCTGGTAGTTCCCGCGCCACTGTTCCCAGTACCATGTCGGCGCAGCCTGCGCGTCTCCGACGTCGTCTGAGAGCGGCGTGGGTAATGCGGAACCTCGAGCTCCGGGGTTCGTCTGGCAGAAGAGTCCACTACTCTGCCGAGGAAATAAGGTTGGTTCACTGTATTTTCTTATATAGCCACATATGTAAACTTCACAGAAAAAAGCTGACGAGTAAAGCAGTCATTAAATTTCTAATAGGAATATTTTTGCTTGTTTTAGGTGCCACTGGAATAAGTATAAGATCATTACCCGGCTCAACACCCCAGCTCAGTGCATTGCATTTGCTGAAGGGCATAGGCTCCTTCCTACAGAAAAAATGTGCACATATCGTAAGAGTTCCAGTCTTACTGCCGGAGCTTAACGTCATAGATATAGATACGTTAAGCTCCGGCAGTAAGACTGGTCAGCTTGGCATATTCCGATGCAGGAAGAGTAACTGTCGCTCTAAGGCAGTGAGTCGGGCAGAGGGAACATGGTTCGAGAATGCGCGGCTACAATTTTTACTGATGTATATGTTCAGCCAAAAGTATAGTTATCATCAAGTAAAATTAGAGACAGTCCATGAACATAAAGAAACAATTTTATCATCAAGGACAATAACTGACTGGTTTTCTTACTGCCGGGAGACAGTAGTTGTTTATGAATTGGAGCACCAAGAAGTTAACGGCAAGATTTGAGGTCCTGGCAAAATCGCGCAAATAGACGAATCAAAATTTGGAAAAAGAAAGTACAACAGAGGGAGACACATTGAAGGCCATTGGATGCTGGGTATGATAGAAAATGGGAAAGATGATTTGAGATTAGAAGTGTGTCCCGATAGTGATAGATCTACGGAAATGTTGGTGCCACTAATACAAAAGCA